CCACTCGGCCAACCCCTTCCCCCCTTCACTACCCTACGGCAGCCCCACCTCCCTTACAGCCCTAGCCCATACCCTTGATACCTTAACCCTCAACCCCCCACCGCCTTTGTTCATGGACACCAAGGCCTCACACCACATCACCTCAGACCCAGGTACTTTATCTCATGTATTTCCTTCAAACATTAATTCTCCTTCTCATATCATTGTAGGTAATGTATCCAGAGTTGGCACTACGGCATATGGCAATGGTTCTATCCCCACTAACCCCCCCTTATCCCTCCGCAATGTTCTCGTTTCCCCTCATATTATCCATAATTTAATTTCCGTTCGTCAGTTTACTCGTGACAATAACTGCTCTGTTGAATTTGACTCATGTGGTTTCTCTGTGAAGGACAAATTAACGGGAGCCGTGATTCAACGCTTCAATAGTGATGGTCATTCTATCCTCTCATTCCAGTTTCTTCCCCAGCACATCTCAACCTTGCCAAAGTTGATCTTCCTACCTGGCATCGTCGTCTTGGTCATCCCAGCCCAGCAGTTCTTAGTGGTCTTTCTAGTTTTTTAGATAGTTCAAATAAAACAAAGTTAGATTTTTTATGCCATGCCTGTCAACTTGGCAAGCATGTGCGTCTTCCTTTTCAGTCGTCGAGTCGTGTGTCCTGTTTTCCGTTTCAATTAATGCATACTGATTTATGGCAGTCTCCTGTTCCTAGTGTAACTGGTTTCAAATTTTACATGTTTTTAATTGATGATTTTTCTCATTACATGTGGGTTTTTCCTCTCAAACATAAATCTGATGCATACTCACACTTAGTTAAATTTCATGCTTTTGTTAAAAATCAATTCAATACCACAATAGAATCAGTTCAATGTGATAATGGTACAGAATACAGAAACACTCCCTTGGCCACCTTCTTCGAATCCCTATGAATTCTTTTTCGTTTCTCCTGCCCGTACACAAGTCAACAAAACGGTCGTGCGGAGCGCACAATTCGCACATTAAATAACACTGTCCGCTCTCTCTTATTTCAAGCCAATCTCCCCCCACAATTCTGGGTTGAAGCCCTACACATGGCTACGCACCTCTTCAATATTCTTCCCACCACAACCCTACAAAACCGAACCCCTCATGAGGTCCTCTTTGGAACTCCTGCCCCTTACCAACACCTCCGCGTCTTCGGCTGCCTATGTTACCCCAACCTTTCCGCCACCGCGCCACACAAGCTTTCCCCGCACTCCACACGTTGCATCTTTCTTGGTTATCCCGAATCCCAACGCGGCTATCGCTGTTTGGATTTATCCACCCAGAAAATTATTGTCTCGCGTCATGTTACGTTTGACGAGTCTGTCTTCCCCTATGCCCCCTCGTGCTCCCCATTCGACTACACCTTTCTCGATAACATCGACGATGGTAT